TCATAGGGGCTGAAATCCTTATATCCGTTTATGACATTGCTCATAGGTCAGCAATTACATCTCTGTAGAAAACCGGTCTTCGAAGATTTTTCAACTATACAATACAAGTTTTTAGAAGCAGCTTCGGAAGTCGGTCCCCACTATGTGCCCATTACCCGATTGATAAATATGTAGTATTCTTTGTTCGTCTTTGACCGGAATCGTGTTTATATGCAGTGGATGAGTAATTTGGAAAATTTTTTAGTTTGTTGGCAAACTTATATGACTGATGCCTCTCATTTGAAGTATTTGTCATGGGTTTTGCTTAGAATTATCAAATATTCATTGTGTTCGCGCGCGCGCGGGTGTGTGTGTTTGTGAGTGTGTTTAAAGCAATGTTATCAAAACTGGACCGGACCGGCCGGTTCGACCGGTTGGACCGAGAACCGGACCTAGTACCGGTCCGGTTTGCATGTTTGGGCCGCTGGGAGCAAGAACTGATATCGAACCGGTCGAACCGATTCAAAACCGGTAAAAATGGTGAACCGGTTCCGGTTCAACCGGCCGAACCGGTTCTGAATTTAAAAAAAAAAAATAAACTTGATGAAATAAAAAAAAAATTAAAAAAAAAAAGAGTGAGATAGTATTTTGTAGTTTGATGAATTGTAATGTTGGATTGAATATATTTTGATGTTTGATGACTTTATAGTTTGTATTTATAATTTAGAGTGCCTTGCTTTAGATTTAGATATTGAATTATTAATCTATTGTTTTAGTGAACTTTATTTAGTATTTTTTATGGTAAACTATACTTAAAATATTGGTTATCAACTCTTATAGTCTTATTTAGAAAAATGTCATTATATGCTATAAAATTAAGGATAAATATGTATATAATTATATATTATACATATAAAATAAATAAATAAATTATATATTAGTTAAACCGGTTCGACCACTGGTCCGACCAGTAAACCATTGAACCAGTAGTTTCACCGGTTCGATGACCGGTCCGGTTTTGAGAACATTGGTTTAAAGGGTGACTGATATCATTTGGGTACATAGTGTGTTACAAGTACTACTTGAGCTCCTAAGTTAGTATTGTTAGCAAAAGCATTTTGAAACCAAATAGTTAAACATAAACTTAGTTGTTGAAATTTAAGAGAGCTAGAGGAAGATGTATTAAGATTTAAAGAATAATTTGAATGAAGATTTTGAAATAGAAATACTTTTGTTATTGTTGAACAATAAAAATTGATTTTAAAAATAATATACCATGTGGAATAACACGATATTGTTGTACGAATATTATATTAATGTTTACAAATTCTTGTGTAATGCAACTTATAATTAGGCGAGTCGATCTGTCATGCTCTGTTTACAAATTCTTGTGTAATGCAACTTATTATTAGGCGAGTCGATCTGTCATGCTCTGTGAATAAAAATGAGTATTTATTCTATTGAATTTCATACTTCTCTTTATGATGTTTTTTAAAGTATGCAATTTCTTTTAATAAAAGAATGCATGTGTAATGATTAAACCGACCTAAGAGGAGAGCTATCAAAATTTATTAATTTGGGATTGGGGTGTATATATATTAGAAAAGAGAAACCAAAAATAAATTATTATGTCAAAGAAAATCCGGAACTATGAAAACCTTATTGGGCCTAATGGAAATTCAGCTGAGGCGTCTGATCTACTTTTCAGACCCAATAAAGAAGAAGGGACTCACGATATATACATACAACTCATCGGGCCCAAATTTAAATTCAAAGCCAGAAATACCCCTCAAGCGGTGCTAAATTACTATAATACTTAACAAAGCAGAATTCTTAAAAAAAAAAAAAAATAAATAAATAAATATCACTGAGCCTCGTCTGCAGAAAATCGAAGAAAACAGATAGAGGAGCAACGAAAACGGTGAGCAGCTCATTTCGATCTATTTAATTTTTGTTGGGATCTGATGATTGATCTGTAATGGTTAATCATGTTTTTTTTTTTTTTTGTGGTCAAGTTTCTGACGATTTGGTGAAATTTGAAATGGTTGAGACGAGGTATGCTGTTATTTGAGAGAAGATTCAGAAATTATTCACGACGAACAGAACAGATTTAGCGCTGAATTCGTAATACTTTTATGTTATTTTCTTAATTTTTTGCTTTTCGTGTTCGATTATAGTTTGGGATTCACCAATAATTTCTGTTCAGTTTTCTAAATTTTTGTTTCTGATTTGAAGTTATACACTTGAATTAAAAGATGCATTGGGTCTGCATGAGTTTCACTGGTTGCGTCCTATTGTAAATAAAATGGTAAATTGGTGATAATTTCTGTGGATTTTAGATGGCAAGTTCAGTGGATGCATCAGGAGAACCAATTCCTACTTCGTCTCTTTTAATGGCAGCATCGAAGCATATCGGGTCTCGGTGCCGTGCGGAGAATGTGGCTTTTCTGAAGTGCAAAAAAGACGATCCAAACCCTGAGAAATGCCTCGACAAGGGACGCCAAGTAACACAATGCGTGTTCAACCTGTAAGTTGAAAGTTTATACTTGTATTTATGACGTAAAAAGAACATATTTCGTTATTTGATTTCAGCTCAATCATCTGTCTCATGGCCTGAGATGAAATTAGTTTGGGGCATCTTATTCTTACTGTAGCTGTTGAGAATCTCGAGTGATTTATTTTTTTGCTTAATTTGCTCCTATAGTGAATGCGAAGTCTGGATTTGAGATGGCTTCTATTTTATTTTAGGGAGGATTGCAATCAATAATAGCCTTTTCTCTTATTATTTGGATCCCTTTTAGAGTGGTGAAGATTTGGAGAAACTACGGTTGATAGTGTAATATGTCTTTTTTTTTTGGCCCTCTCAAATCATTATGTTCTTCACATCGCCAAAGTATCGGCTGCATTTTAGTTTATAAATAGCAAGAGAATGAAAAAACATAGCTAAGAGGTTGAGAAATATGCTTAACACTTGCCAGTAACTTTTCTGCAGTATTATGCAAAGGATAACTGATCGGCTTAAATATCCATGTAAAACAAATAAATCGCATTTAAGTTTCATATCGGAGCTTTACTTACTGGGGTTAACTGATTGTAATATGTCAGAAGTTGTTGATGTCGCTGTGATGTGCCCAATGCCACTAAATATAGTGTCTGGTGTGAATTACAGTAGCTAAATTGGCTTAATGTAGCAGAATCCCTAAGTTGGCTGATATAATTCACATCCAACATCTGAACAAAATGCATTATTTTTGCTTCAAATCATCAAATTCCAACCTCCAAAATATTGATGACCTATAGCTTTAGTAGATTCCCATTAACTTGATTCACGAGCGGTTATTACCTTTTGTTCCTTCTCATAATAGAGATATGAATTCTTATGAGTATGGTTATTACATACCTGTAACTTTGATCACTGAAATCACATAGTTTTCTGTATTTTCCTTTTTTTTTTAGTATCATGTGAGCCCCCAATATATGCTCTACTTAGTGGCGAAATGATGCATTTCCATGTTTATCTGGCTAGTGTGAATAATGGTTTGCCGTACTCCTGTTCTCGTTTATATCTCATATGCTAGTAATTGAACAATAACAGTGGGTATAGATATGAGACTAAAGTCTTCATGTGTGTTGTCTTTAATGTGGACTAATTAAACTTCAAAAGGGGGAAACTACAGTTGCTCCACTTGAGGTTCTCAATTACGCAGAAAAGCAACACAGTTAATTTTCAAACGCTACATTTTTTATCCACCTTGTCTTTCTTTCATTTCACTTTTTTTTTGGGGAAAAACTGCATTCATATTTTGAGGGCTGATAGTTATAACTAATGCAATATTCAAGAGAAAAATATCATTTTCCGAAGCATGCGGTGATAGACATAGTTTTTGTTTCGAAATATCCTCAAATTACGTGTGTTGGTTTTTAGGTTGAGAGATCTACACCAAATGTGCAACAAAGAGCTGGACTCGTATGCCGGGTGCATGTATTACCACACCAATGAATTCGATCTTTGTCGCAAAGAGCAAAAGGAGTTCGAAAATGCATGCCCCCTTTGATCCGAATAGCAAGGCCCAAACCTTTTTTTTTTTTTTTTTTTTTTTTT